GAATCTGCTTTTAAGTTCTATATAGTCTTTATAACTAATATCACAATAAGCATTTCCTGTGCAATTTGTACTCCAATAAAATGGTGAAATCCATACTTATATCCACATCCCATTTTAGAATAAATGAGCTTGTTGCACAAATAACAGATTGCTATACTTACACCTATAGCATGGCCAAGATCACCCTCATATAAATACACCACCTTTCTCACAATAAGATAATGCTTTTTATCATTATTCAAGCAATTACTATTCTTATAGTTCATCAACTGATTCCAGATTTGTTTCATCCAATCAGATGGGGTTTCTCTATTACGAATTACAGAAAATTGACAATTATCTTTCCATTCAGTATCACTCAAAACTGGACAATTATCTGTATAAACCATGTTTAATGATTAAGTAACTTATAGTGTTTTAGAGGTTATGCAATTATATCAAATTTAAGATTATTAGACCTATTAGATTTTATTAATTATATACATTATGAATAACCAATTCAATTTAATACACTCAAATATACACATATTAAAGTCTCAGTAATATATAGGTTTCTTATCTAAAAGATTCAAAGGTATTTTTGCTTATGCAAGTTGTCATAGTTGATTAGAAGCATAGAATAAGTTATGGATATAAGAAAAAATAAATATATATCAAGATTAGAATTATGTTTTATGTGAGCCAATCAAGTTCTCTTTGCCTATTTTTTGCAGACCAAACAAACCACCTAAGTCAAAGTACTGAGCTATCTAATGGTAATTATGTGCTTTCTATAACACAATATACAAAGTTAGAGGCCCTATCACCAAAAGCCAAAAACTCATAACTAAAATTTTTTGCATAGCTATATATACTCATAACAAGTAACTCAAGATTGCTCTATCACGTAAAAGCAACCAAAATGCTAATAAATAAAAAATAGTATATACCTAGTTTAAATTAAACATAATGTTACTTATTGATGATGGTATAGAAATATTGGTAAGATATTGCAAAGCAATGAGACAAGTCTTCTAAATTTTAGATATAAATTTTTCTGGTGAATACATTCAATCACTCTCTGTAGTGTGGTTTAATTGTTTAGGAAGTCCGTATTACCTTCTCCCTAATACATGCCCCACATCGAGGATGACGATCATGCCCAGAATAAAGAAAAATGTTATGTGTTTATTTAAGTTTTGAGGTGGATATATTCAAACTATTTCTTATCTTGTAGTTCAGTGAACTATACCATGAAAAGCTCATTGGGCCTTCCTCTCCTTACTACAGACAATAATAATTTGATAATCATACTCTTTATAATTGTTTTTATATGAAATAAATTTTAGAAAGGTAATAATTGGACCCTAGACCTGCCTCGAAAGGCTATAACTATACCTGAGAAGACTATTCTATAAAGGATAGATCATGTATTTTTTGCAAACCAGATAATCATCTTTATCTAAGTACTAAACTACCTATAAGCCCGTTGAGTCTCACAACATTGCATAGTCAGAGACCCTATCGCTTAATTTTAAAGACAAAATTTTTTGCTTGACTAAGCATACCCATACAAATAGCTCTGGCAATTGTCTTATTAACACAAATTAATCTAGTGTAAGAAGTTAGAATATCAGTAAAAAATTTCAGACAGAAAGCGAAAAAAAGATTTTATATACATTTATTTAAGCCTTATATATGTAGCGTATTAATAGCCTCGATTATCCTTTTTTTAGATAATAGTATGTTTATTTTTAAAGGGCGGATTACCTGATAATGATAAGCCATAAATATTTGTACATACAGGCTACACTGTCAAATAATTACTAACAAACAATTATTGCACATGACAAATCAATCAACAATCACACATTTTCTATATTGGGATTAGATCATTAATAACTTGTTGAGCAGGCATACTTATACAGGGTACAATGATAATTTTACACACTATATTAAGCCGGCCCCAGATCTACAAATTTATATAAGTAGTATAAAATTATGCTGGGTTTATAATAAACATGCAGAAAATTAATCATAGTTTGTAGAACTGGTTTGCAATGACTTTACTGCTTTAGATAAAACAAGTTTGAGAGATCTATTTTGGGTATTACAAGCATATAATTTAATTTTCTGGCAATAAGAATGTACAACACCCACCATTTGAGATCATTCTGGTCGAGATAAACAAATCCGAGATATACAAATCCAAGGCACAAAGTTGGTTAATTATGCAAAATTTTGGATGTAATACCAATTTGAGTTTGGTTATAATGATTTTTTTAAGCGACACAAAATAGAAAATGGTATGAACTCTGGTTGATGTTTGGTTGAAGTTTGGTTATTCATTCTTATAATAAATATATAATAAACTATAAATATGAGTTGAACTAGGGTTGAACTCAGTTTGAACTCAGGTTGAAAATGGTAGAATAGACAGATGCACAAACACGTACTCTAATCGAAAAATGAAGAAATAGAAATATAGAGTACCATAACCACGAAAGAAATCGAAACATATTTTGGAATAGTATTGCAAATAGAATCAACCAAGAGCATAATACTAATTTTACTGGTTATCATTGTAAAGAAAAATTTTCGAATCTTGTTTGGAGTTATAATGTAAGTTTGCACTATAAAGCATTATTTTTTATCTGGCTCCTATTAACATAATTAAATCACTTGATTAGGCGATATGTGAATATATGTCAGATAGTCGTGGAGCATGTAGAAATCGAATGGGTGCACAATACTTTGATGAGTTTTGTACACATTTTTGAAAGAGGCCTGAAGATGAATTCAATAGAATCCGTACTCTTAATATCTCAAACCATAAGCAGAATAGAGATGTGGAAAATACAACACCAGCACTACTTATTGAGGAAGTTGAGCATGTATTGAGTATAAGATCTTCTGTTAGACAAATAAACCAGTCTCCATTTATTATTAGTAGAAGGAGTCAAAAACATTCACCATATCTTGCTTCACCTTATAATAACACTAATATAAACAACCCTGGTATGAGAAATTCTAAGCAAAATATTAGCGTTTTCCCGCCTTTAATTGAAACATTATCTTCCCAACTACCACCTTACTCATGGGCCACAGATGAAGTACAAATAATAATCAGAGCCAAGACAGTTCTAACTATGAATTAGCTGTCTCTGGCAGTAATCTAATACCTGATTTGCTAAATTTATCTTTATCACAAAATGAAAGTAATGCCATTATGCACGATATAGGTAGTCAACCACTCTTCTATATAGAATTGATAAATGAAAAAAAAAAATAAAGATTCTCAATCACTTTTCTTTATTTAATAAAAATAGTACAATTATGACTCTTCGAGTCACTCTATAGGCCTGCTGTATACATGTGTATATATCGTTAATTTTTGATATTTTTTTGTGTGTAGTAGCATCACGTGATTTTGGTGCTGAAATTTTACCAAAAAAAATAAAAAATAAAGTCCAATTGCATAACACAGATGTTCGATCAACATATCACATATCATACCAAAGAAGAAAATCAAAGGTTATAGAACTTCTGCATATACAGTGGCTTAGCAATTTTATATATGTTTATTAAGAAAAAGCCAACAGCACTTCTACAGTGGCTTAATATGTGCCATTTTAACACAACACGTAGCGGTAATTTAATTTTATAGTTGTTAGATTATTTCAAATTTATTATATCATACTGTTATAGAACTTAATGGTCTCACAGGTTCGCTTATCTGCTTAAGTAGGTGGTTACTTGATATTCAGGTTTATCAGTTCAAATGAGCAATAAAACCTTGACTGGCTTTAATAATCAATAGCCTGCATTAAACTTTATGTGGTATTACCTTAATTTCTCACAGTCAATTTTTTTATTAATAAATATTATGAATAATGCGAATAATACGAATATTATCTAGACCCTTTTTCTTACTTTATACGATCCCACAATAAGAATAGGACTTAAAAAGGCTATAAAGGCAATAAGTATAACATTCTTTATCAGTAGTTTTATCAAAATTCATATGTTGCAGAAACTTGGCATTCCCAGATTATTGAGATCGTTA